GGAATTCAAGGAGACTCCTTTTCCATTGTATCCTTTTTGATCTATAAATAGTCAAGTAATTAAACGGAGATGTAGTTGTGTTTCAAAGTGCCAAATTTTCTGTTTTCTCCCTTACTTTTGCATGTTATCCAATTGCGATTGTCAATCAATTGTACCGATCGTATAGGGAAAACCAAAAAGTTGCAAACGAATTCGTTTCCATGAATTAAGCAGAGAATATTAATACACTCTCACAAAATCATAGTGGTGTGACTCTTACTTGCTGGGGCCATAAGAGCCGCCCAGCTATCTGTTCTTAGATACTTATTTTTTTGTTATAAACTTAATCTATACAAATTCCATCAACGCAGCAATGTTTGCTTGAAATACAGCAATCAGCTTGCTCAAACATATACTGACAGCCAGATTTGTCTGACGGCTTGAGATCAATGTGCAAGAGAGAGAAGCGCGATAACTGTGTATCAACACATGTTAGAAAGAGATAGAAGCCGGCTGGAGAGCGAAGGTCATCACTATATTGCCTAGCAACGGTGACGCAGAAGGTCATGCAATCTGACGCTCAAAATAAAACCATTGTTTGGGCGTGAAGAATAAACTAACGCATATTTTCAATATGCATCTTAATTCAATGAACTGGTGTAACATATTGGCAGCGCGGCAGATTGCCGCGTCAGTGTTGCTAGGCAACGCGGTGATGTGATTCGCTATCTAGGCGGCGTCTATCTCTTTCTAACATATGTGTCGCTACACACTTCTCTCTCGTACACATTGAACTCAAGCCGTCAGACAAATTTGGTTCTCAATGTATAGGCCAAGAATTTTTGTCCTACAATTTTGATGACAGTAATTTTTTTGGCTTTCTAATGATAATTTCAAGTTGGCGTCATGATGTGTCATTTTGAAATATGCGTTTGATCGGAAATGTCGGAAACCATCGACCCTATATGTAAAAATGTAATAAAAACAATTTTACAGGTAATTAAATTCTCTAATAAAATTAATTAAAACATCACAAATTATTACATCACGCGGCAGTAAAAAAAGATTCAATTTAAAACGGTATTCTTGATCATAGATAATGATTATGAAGTTATCGACCCTTTATGTGAAAATGTAATAAAAACAATTTTGCAGGGAAGTAAATTCTTTAATAAAATTATTTAAAACATCACAAATTAAGTTATCTACACGTGAAAAAATGTTGTATGCGGATAACGTTGACAACGTACGTAGCGGGTGCAGTATGCCGCGCGACTGTTTTGATACGAATTTTAAATTTTCCTCAAAGAACCATCAAGTAAAATACCTTTTTTGTAGCAAGTTTTATTTTCTACAAAAATAGAAGTGATTTTTACTCGTACATTCTTAGTTTAGCCACTATAAACAGAAATATCATAACCTAAACCCTTTAATTTCTCGTAATTGTTGATTGTAATGCACATTTTTATAAAAGCAGAATGACAAAGAATTTACAAAATTGTTTCTGTTAGCTTTTACATAGGATTGATGATTTTCGATCAAATGCGTTTTCAAAATGGCGGTAAATTCTCCAGCAATATTATGACACCAGTTTGAAGTTATCATTCGGAAGCAATAATCTGATGATATCGCCAAAACGATTGACTGTCGCCAATATTGGAGGAATTTCTTATACAAAATCTTCTTATTTCTTGGCCTTTACTTGGTCTGTCGCGGTAAATAACCTCCTTGTCTACCTAATGAGGTTTTGGAGTGTGCCCAGTTCTGTCGCAGAGTGTCATGTACCGTGATGCTTTATGATATGCTGCTTCATTCACAAGTTTTCATTATGCTACATGCCATATGTGTGAGTGGTTTTATGTAAATAATTTTGTTCAAAATGATACATTGAAATTTTGCCAAATATGCTAAACACATTCACTGTAAATCAAAATAGAAGAATAGAAGTAAACCTCTTTTGATCTAGGCCACATTATGAGCACTGTGAATCCATATATGGAAATACACATTGCAAAAATTCTATTGCACGAAATTCGATTATAATTGCTGTCAAACTCATGAATACCTAATGAGTAAGACGTTACTTTCAATAACGTTTTATGATGAGCAAAATCTAAACGCGGTAATTACGAGATGCTCAATATTAATAATTGATTGACAGTCCTTGTCTGAGAAAAAGTAGAACGACCGATATTGATCGATGAAGTTTTAAAAATGAAGCGCACGAGGTTTGCTAAACGAATGAGAATAAGTCTTAAGTTTTACTAAAAACAAATAACAGATAGGCGTTAGGCAACGTTGATGAGATTGGATTATCCTTATTTTCCTTGACAGGGCTACTCTTAACGATAATGCACACCGACAAATCTCCGACCAACAAATTCAGACTAGGTAAAAGGAGCAAGTCTAAGATCTGTTTGTCTCCTAAATCTCATATTCTGTAGTTAGGATGAAAATTCATACTACAAGTCGATATAATTCGTATTTTTCTGCAAATAGGGTGTTTAAGAAAAACATATCAGTATTTCTAGGCAATAAAGTAGGTAAAAAAATAACATGATAAACTCATATAAACATTGTGCCTAAAATGTCGCCTTATTGAGACGCAGGATGTTGAAGTTTCAATTTTGGAATCGAAAGAAAGTATATCTTGGGGTTTGTCAAGAGAATATTTACGTAAGCAATTGTACACTAAGTAATAACAGTATAGACAAAACATATAAACATATATGTATTTCCAACTACATCAGTGACGTAGGAATGGGGAAATGTTGACCTCTACACAAGAAAAGAAAAGAAATATTTACATAAGTAATATCAAAGGAGCATCTAATTTTTCCGAAAAAAAAATATATTGAAAAAACACGTTGCTATGTAATATTTTTAAACGCCTGAACGAATGTTTTTTGTTAAAAAAATATTTCTTTGCTTTGTATTTTTTCGATTTTCTTCACATAAAAAAATTAGATGACCGGATGGTATTTGACAAGTATATTTTATCAGTAACAGATTAGCTGTTTAAAAACAAAATACAAAATTTATTCAGAATCACACCAGAAAAATTGCTTAGCGTCGTTTTCTGGTGTCCTGGGGTCCAGAATTACTTGTTGTCAAAAGTTAATGTAATTTTTGGTGACAACAGATATCAAGTGTTTCCGCGGCTAAGCTCGAAAAAACTGCTGACAGGTGCTTTCATACAATTTTTCCATCCAGAAACCATTTGTAATTCAAAATTGCGCGTTTTTTATCGGTAGAAATTAAGACGAGGGAAATAGTCGACATAACTTACTTTTTTACTACACTTGTGCTAGTAATAACAGTATAGCCGATACATATGAAAAACTTAGTGTTCGAAATGTCACCAGTGGCGTAGAAATTGGGAAATTTGTTGCCCTGCAGACGGAAAAAGATAATTATTTCCTGGGCCACTGAATTTTTAAGTTACATAATCTTACATGAATCGCCTCTCTTGAGAAATTTTTCTTGGACTGCTATTTTGTACAAAAATCAGTTTGAATATCCGTATAAAAAAAATTTCAACCCCTTCTATTTTGAAAAAACGCTGAATTCATTGTAGTTTGATACTGAAAATCGTTTGTAGTGCATTACGAGAGTAATCATATCTCCCCATAGCGTTATTTGTACAGTATTCATGTTTTTGCCTTATTCAGTCTCATCATCAACGTAAAAATTTACAATACCCGTATCTCTTAGGACCTATGTTTAGATTCACTTCTTTCGCTATTTTTGGATCCACCCTCTACTCCAGAAATATTTTAACGTTTTTTCGAAATACCCGTATAATTACAAACAATGCAGCGATATGCTTAAAATAATAGGCTAGATAGTCTAGGTTTGATACTTTTATATTCATATACCAGGCGACCAGGAATACTATAATTTTTAAATGGTTTTAAGCATAACTCCCCCAAGGAAAATTGCACATGTTGATCCTTTATGCAGCTGTTAATCGCTGTTTTATACACTTGAATGGGGGATAGAGGACACTTGTTTTTACCCGCTTTCTGAAAATATATAATACAAACTCTTGTCTAGTTGTATCTTCAGGGGTGGCTAATATTTTATATCGAATATCAACAAATGGAAAAGTCAAATCGCACGCCCATGTCAACCACGTTGTCATACTGGCAGTGACAAGCAAAACTATGTAAAAGTCATACGTTGACGAGGAAATTTTCGAGATAGTGATACCAAATAATAAGACGTCTGTGAGCGTACACAAAGAAAGGTCCGGGCATAGATATAGGTGTGTGTGAGACAGAGGAGAGACCTGTCAAAAATCACGAAACGATCTACTTATATATTTCCAAACGTATTTAGATTTGAAGTTGAAATTAGTACTGCTACTGTTAAAAGATACCGACAGCTACAGACAAACGAAAATATCGCTACTAATTGCTTTAGTTGAAAATACATGGTTTTAAATATGCCTTGGCAGCTTTTACATATTCTCATGATTGCTTTGTTAATTATAATATTGCTTCAGTCAATACATCTAAAATAACGTCCATATTTGAAACTACTGGACATGTTGTGGGAATCTGCTGTAGCAATCATAATTTCACCCACAAAAGTGGTAAACAAAACCGTAACTCTGTCACAAATCAAGAAAGGCGGACACCTAATTAGATGTTAATAATTATTTTCAGTTTACACACTATGCAAAACTATTGAACGGTGACAACTATTTTTTTAACTTGAGCAACTAAAAAATGATAGCGGACAGCGGACATAGTAGAACTCAATGTTCTAATTTCTCCATCAATATTTTTGAGAAACAGAAGGCAATAAAAACATATCGTCGGCTAAATACCTTAAACTGCTAACTCCTTTTTGTGAGGTTTACAGGAGGAACAAAAAACGATTTTACAACGATGGTGTGCATTTAAACAAGCCGCTAAGAAGAATATTTTTGATGATATATTCAATGTGTTAGCAAGAAATAGATATGGAAAAAATACTGTATAAGATTTTATGGACAGTAACTGGAGTTGGCAGTTGTTCATTTGAATAGAAAAGAAGGAATTTTGGAGTTAGCAACTTTTATTTTTAGTAATAATATTTATTTCAGTGTATTCAAAATGATCAAAACATCTAAACTAAAACATCTACAAATTCACAGGTGTGGCAAATGATTATAAAAATGTTGATAGTCCGCTGGAATAGTACAGTTAATTTCTTGAAGGTCGGAATATTTTCGCGCAGATATTGGAATTTTATCTTTATACAGATGGTCCAACACTGTCCAGGCAATAATGTCAACTTGAGATTTTCTTTGCGAAAGTAATTCTCATTCATCAGAGAACCGAAGTTTATAATAGATGTCTCCTACTGGTGTATATCTTAGGCCCCGAATATCAGTTACCTACAAATAAAAATTAAACAATTAAATATACCAAGCACTCTTATAATTTCAATGTTTTTATTACTTTTGGTTCTCCTAGTTTATTCCCTCGTCAAATACTTCTAACAGCTCCTAACTTTTTTGATTAATCGGGAGAAAGTGTGATCTAACTAGGTACATTAATTACCTCGTAGGGTTTAGGATTTTTTCTTGCTTTTTTGCAGTGGTATGCATAATCTGCAGGGACGTTTAGCCTTACTCGATTTACACAACGTTCTATGATAGCATCCATGGAATCCACTTGCATTTGAGTATGTCCAACCTCTAAATATTTATTCGCAAGTGTAATATCATGTTTTCTGCATAAATTTAAAGCTGCGTTAGCCAAAGTCACGTTTCTGTTCTGATGCGTGCAACCATCACATTATCTTTCGGTAGGAATGACTTTTGTTTCCAAAAATGAGTAGAAACAAGAGGAAAATTCTGCGTTCAGTCCACTCTTCCCCTCATGTCATAAGAAACAATTTGTCGAGCATAATTATTATAAAAGCACAGGCTGTGAACGCATAATTTTGTCTTGCTATATGAGCTGCTAATATTAGATTCAGGAGACATTAAAACAGCTTGAAGATCAACAATAAATACGCATTTCTGGTTTTACACATCCTTTTGTTTTTCTGCTATGGCCTCATTTTTGTTTAATATATGAGCGTTATACGCAAAGTTAGGGTTTTCCTTTATACGACGTGTACACCTTGAGAAAATAAGCGGATTTTCATATACATCAATGTCTTAAGAGAACCGAACCAAACCGAAGACGGTCCTGACCCTCGATCACGTCCACAGCGCCAGCGTACAGTTATATGACGTACGACTACGATGTAAATACGCTAGTATCCAACCTAAGCTAGACGCCGGTAGTGTAGGTCAACAAACCATCGCACTGGTAACCGATTGCTGTTCAAAAAATAAAAAAAATGGCACACTCATATACCAACAGCTAACTCAAGAAGTCAATTTCATTAAAAAAAAACAATAATAAACTAATGTCACACTGTGATATTTCAAAAAGGAGCCACGTTTATTCTAGAGCTGGAGAGCGTTTAAGGAGCACACGTTCACCTGTCACTTGGTTTTGACTGGAGATAGCAGCATTTCGATGAATAAAGTGTGGGGATCAGTTAGCAGCTTTACTCATCATGGCTTTTCAATTAGTTTTCGTACGAACTTGATAAACATTTAGTTTTGCTATGATAGAAAAGGAGTCATAGTTGTGAAATAGATAAATATCACCAAAGTGATGAAAATGGAGTTAGCAGTTTAACGTATTTAGCCGACAATATGTATTAAAATTTTAAATTATCAACCGAACTGCTTCAAGCAGATACTTCATAGGTTTAGTATATAACTTTGACGTGTTTTGAGTCTGTGATTCCAAATATTTCAAACCTCAGCTATTCTTTTCGAGCTCTTTGAGTGTCTTGCAATTCACGACCAGCTTGTTCAAATCTGAGTTAAATCGTCGATGTGCTGGCTAGATTTATTGAGATCTTGACTCTAAGTTCTAGACCTGAACTCATAAGTTAGTGCATCCATACGACAAAACCTTTGGCAATGATAAAAATATCGAAAAGGGTGAATGACGATTTTGTATTTTTTTGTTAATTTTACACAGGGACACGCAGAATTTTTTCTCAGGGAGGCGAATAGAATTTTTTTGTGAAAGTGTGCCTACTTCCAAAATTTTTTGCAAGGGGTAACAAACCTTCTCAGTGTTGCCAGATACAAAAAAACACAAAATTCCCTAGTCTGGCACCCTTCTGCGGGCATTCATCATTCTAGATCCATGTCAACAGAGAATGATAGGTTTTTGGGTGCTTGTATTTTTACAAATCATTAGCTCGTTCAGAAAGTGGGATTACTAATCAAATGATATATAAAAACATATCGATATATCTGGCCCGGTATCATCGGTACAGTACTGATCAGCTCGATAAAGTTTATTAATCTTATCAGTCGGGTTTTGCTGCATGAAGAAAAAACATAGGTTCAGTGGGGCTGGTATATTGGTCAGAAATTAAATAATGGAAAAACTGGACTAAACAAATGTTTAAAGTTTGTTTTTAGTTAGGTGTTTTAGAGTTAATACGTGATAATTTTACTTCAAACGGCAAGAAAGTATTATAATCCCATCGACCAGTGCCATTAACAGAACAAAAAAAAATTAATTTAAGAGTGAAGTGTAAACACATTCCAAACTCAACGATTTTTTGAGATTTTGATCGCTGGTTGTGTGACCCCCATCATTCATTCCCATTTAGAAACGAATTATTCAATTTCCAAAACTACTTGCTTCCAGTACCTCTATCGGTAATCAACGCATTTGTTTTACGATTTGCATTGAACATTTCATGAAAATATCGGTAACTGATTTATTGGTCAACGCGAATCATCATCTGGCCAATGGGTAATGATACATGTCATCTTGACCGTTTCACGAAATTCTCAATTTTAGGATATGGTCACATGTACGTCATGAAGAACTATGTCTCTCATTTCCGTCGGTTTGTCTGTCTGTCTACCTGCTGATCCTGGACCAGTTTATAACTTGGGAAGCAGAGAGGATGTTTTAACTTAAAGCAATGGTGTGATCAATGAATCTTTCCAAGCATCCAGGCAGCGGTTTATCAAATACTTGAGTCAAATTTATGTCGAACAGCGTTGCTTAGGAAGTGCAGAGTCAACCTACCTGACACCGTCCTTATCGACTCTCATTTTTAATCTTTGTCGTATCATTCTTTTTCACCATTGTGAATTGGATAAAAATGTTTGGTTGATTGTGACAGAATGTCAACGTCGAACTTTTTGGTTGACTTTTTCCAAAGCGCTTGCCTAACGCGTACAATGGCTCATCTAGAAAACCGTACAGACTTCCCCACACATGAGTTTGCAAAAAAATGCGTAGTAATGAATTTAGATCATCCATCGGTTGCATTAGTGGGAGCAAAATAACCATGCTATAAAAGCAGCCGGCCGAAAACGGTATGCAGTGCACCGACAGTTCAAGTTCAACGTTTACTTTCAGCATGAAACAAGTAAGAAGCTCTTCACTCTCATTCGTGGTCGTTGCGTAATCGTAAACATTAGTGCTTCGGTTTGGTTTAGGGATAGTAGGTCAGAGATAAAATTAGTGCTTTCGAATAGCGGGGAATTCTCTTTTCGAATCAGGATCACGAGAAACACTGCATATCGGCCTACCTGTTTGTCAGTAACTTTTTTGCTATGCGTGGTTCAAGCAACCTTTGAAAAGGTTTTGGAGAAGTTTTGGGAAAACATTTATTTTTTAGACTTACTTTGCAATTTTATTCGTAGTCGAAAGAACCTGAAAGGGAATTATAAATTCCTATAATGCCACTACGTTTGTCTGGTTGAGCCTTCCTTCATTTCTCTTGTCCATGTTCACTTTGAGCAAGGGACCAGTATGAAACTCTTCACGATATGAGCTGATAGTAAACAACATCGTTTTTAGTTTCAAGCTAGTAGGTCTGAAATAATGATAATATTAGTAGTTCAATTTTGAGTATAATTTAAAATTGATTAGATCTTGTTTGGGATAGTTAGTTTTTTTTTCGGTGTAGCTATGAGCAAAGAGGGAAACAGATCGAACTCATCTTCAAACTCCGTATTTGCATATTTTTCAACTCTCACATCATTTTTGGTCTTAACGAGAAGAAAATCTAGAATGTAAAATTTTCAGAACCTCTAATCCTTCCCGTTTTAAATAAATAATCAATTTAGGGTGCAGTGGAGAATTTTCAGATGCCACTCTTTTTAATTTGGCTAAGACTGTATCAAGAATTTACAATTCAAGTCTTATTATTTTTCATTCTAATAACATTCAAAATTTGTACGCCCCTAAAGAAAATTTGGAAGTACGATTAATAATAATAATAAAATGTCTTTATTTTTTAGTTAACAGAATAACAAGGAAAAACAACTAATTTGATGAGGGAGGAGGAATTCAACAAAGTTGGTCTTCCATGCAACTACATAATAATAACGATAATTCTTTGTCAGAAAACTTTTCAAGAAATTCAGATTTTGTATTTATACCTGATTTCTAAACAGATTTTTATAGTAATTTTTAGATAAATACTACATGACACCATCTTATGTAATTCCAGTTGGTGCTAGTTCTAGCCCTCTTTGGGGCAGCTACCGCTGCCAGGTTAGACAACTTACAGAGTCAGTATCTGCCTCCCACAGGGTCAGACAGCACAATTGCTAGATTTGGACCTCAATACCGTGGTACTCAGTACTCTCAACCACAACAGCCAATCGTTTATGGCCCAACACAACAGTACTCGAATCAACAGGGACAGTACTCTTCTGGAATACCGGTGGGACAATACTACCCTAATCAACAAGGGCAATACTCTTCCGGGACAGAAACAGGACCGTACTACCAAGGACGCTATGGCGGAGATCAAGGTCAGTACTCTGGAGCAACGATTCTGAAAGCTGACAATCAGCCCAATGCAGGAGACGGCACTTATAGTTACAGTTATGAAACCTCTAATGGTATCAGTGCCCAAGAGTCTGGTACCGGAGCTGTAGGAGCTGAAGGAGGGTACTCCTATACATCACCTGAAGGCGAGGTCATATCAGTAAGGTAGGGGACATTTGTTCTATCATAGCTATCATGCCTCTCTACGATGTGATTTTTGAACATGAATCCATTTTTGTAGGACATCTCTGGAAAAACATATACGGTATGCCAAAAAATTGATGGGTTTTTTGCGACAATATTTCAGGGTAGATAGTTATACGGTTTTCTACAATTTTTATAAATAACCATATAATCGTTCAAATGAACTACTATAGATCCTACATCATACGAAACCTCATAAAGAGGCAAATCTGAAAAATGTATAGGGCATTTAATTTAAAATGTTCAAGAAAAACAACATTTTGCGTTTCGCAACACCCTGTATAAACAAATCATATTATCAACACTTGACGCAGTTGAGCTTAAAGCCTGCGTACTCTTTGGTCCTCTCTCCAAAATTCAATGAAAAACTAAGCAAAATGGCAGAGATCAAAGCCTTCAAATATAAGCATTTTTTCAGACAATTAATAAAGTAACATAAACAAAAGACAAACAAAACCCTATAGTGTATTATATTAATCTTAATGATTTGGTAAGGTATTTCCAAAGATACAATTAAATATAGGGTACTCTATTTAAAAAAAGAAACTGGATCTCCCTATATCTCCAAAACAAAAAGATTGACGTAAGTTATTGTTTGCATGGGTGTTACGATGCGATGGATAAATAGTTAGTTATATGGTTTTCTACAGTTTTTATAAATAACCGTATAACCGTTCAAATAAACTACTATAGATCCTACATCATACGAAATCTCATAAAGAGGTGAATCCGAAAAATGTATAGGGCATTTCATTTAAAATGTTCGAGAGATACAACATTTTGCATTTCGCAACACCCTGTATAAACAAATCATATTATCAACACTTGACGCAGTTGAGCTTAAAGCCTGCGTACTCTTTGGTCCTCTCTCCAAAATTCAATGAAAAACTAAGCAAAATGGCAGAGATCAAAGCCTTCAAATATAGGCATTTTTTTTTCAGACAAATGATAAAATAACATGAACAAAAGACGAACAGAACCCTATAGTGTATTAATCCTATTTAAAAAAAAACTTTTTGTGCCACGGTATTATGCAACGCCCTGTGCATTTCAAATCATTTAGAAATACATGTTGTTGCGGAAACCATTTTCTAATATCTCTTGTACAGTCTTTATAAAACTACTTTCCATTTTTGGTGGAACGCTCTGTATGTTCCTTCAACATTTATATTAAAACAGCTCACTTGATTTGCCAAAGAGCATTAACATCCAGAAATCAACGATGTAAACTTTTGTTCATATAAAATATTTGACATTTCCAGATATACAGCGGATGCAGATGGTTTCCACCCAGTAGGATCTCACATACCAGGCGTTGAAGCTATCCTCAAATCCATCGAAATCAACAAAGCTGCAGCTGCTCAGCAGTATGGTGCTCCAAGCCAACAGTACGGCACACCAAACCAACAATACGGCACACCAAATCAACAATATGGCACACCAAATCAACAATATGGCACACCAGCAGCTGGAGGTCAATTTGGAGCTGGTGGCCAGCAACAGTACCAACCGTACAGAACACCTGTTCAGCAGTACAATGCTCCTGGTCCACTGTACGGAACACCAAGTGGTATAAGTCAACAGACATTTGGTGGACAACAGTATAGTACTCCCACCCAACAGTATGGAGCTCCTTCTCAGTACAATAGGCCAAGTCAGCGATATGGAGCTCCAGGTCAGCAATATGATGCGTCCAGCAGTACGTTTGGAGCAAGGCAAGGATTTAATGTGCCAGCACCTCAGTATGGAACACCAAATGGTTCCAACCAAGGGTATCGGTATTAAGAGATGGTTAGTATTATAACGTCTGACAGGGTATTAGTTTTGTAAATATTCTTGTATCTTTATAAGTAATAAAATTGTTTGCAAGTTTTACGTTTGTCTTTTATTTTTCAAAATGAGCTGAGATGACCTGTCAGAGTCATCCTTAAATTAAGGAAAGCAGAAATATTGTCTATCACAATATAAGAACGTATTACCTCTACTGTTAAATTCTTGATATGTTAAATAATATACTACTTGACGGCGGCAACATTTATATTGATCTTTCAAATAAATCGTCTAATTTAAAGGTTTTTGTATTGTTCGACACTGCTACAATAATCTGATCTGGGGACTTATTTATTGAATCCGATTAAACAAGCGCTTTCTGCAAAGGGAAGGTACAATGTGGATTTTTGAACGTGTTCTAATTCTAATTCTGAGGAAAGTTCTCCATTTCCAATTCGCTTTATGAAAAGTGAGATGCACCCAATGAGTTGGAGCAGGTTAGAACAAGCTAAGCCTATCTGTTTGCAGGGCCAGAGCTACGTGGATTTAATATTTAATGCATGCTTTCAGGTAGATGTACCTATCAATGCATATCATGGTGACAAACCACTGTATCGTCGTACACATTAAATAGTACTCTGTTACGTTGCTAATCATTCTTTATCGTTAAAAAGGATAAATTAAATAAAGCGTGAAAAGCAGATCAAAAATATTTAATGGCATTTACTGTTGATATACCATTGTCACCAGTTTACTCGAATGTGATTGTGTGTGATATAATCAATTCGATATATTAGTCTTTTGGGGCATGCTGAGGTTCCTTAACAGAAAATCTCGTGACTCTAAAATGAAAGTATATAAGACTCAAGCTTCCAGATGACCCTTTCCAGTATTCATGATAAATTCTGGTCTATGTCTAATGTTTTCTATTATTTCGTCAGCTATCCTTAGAATGGTATTCAGCACTCAAAAAAATAAGTGGAACGAAAATAAAAACTTTCATATCTGTCCAGGGAATAGCTCAGCATTAAGACACATGCCCTTTCACAACGCCGATGACTATCGTATTTTAACTCTTTTATTCAGCTTAAACAGCTTTTTCACACAAACGACTTTTTTGGCTATTGTCAAGAACACTGGAAGTGTATGGAAACCCACGCACTTTTATATGGTTTCACAAAAAATACGAAATGTCAGTGGATAAAAACAAATCGCATGGTTGTTCATTCTACCTAGACCGAATTGGTAGGATCTACCAAACTTATATAATAATAATAATCGTCTTTATTTATAATGACATTACATTATGAAAGGGTGAAGTTCAGCTCATGTAGTTATTCTTCCACTTGACCCAAATATCAGAAAAAAATACAAGTTTAAAAGTATGTGAATACATTTAAATTTGATATTAAGACTTAAAGCACATACAAAAAAAACAGTTTATCGAACAACTCAATTGATTCTCCGCAATGAGATGTGTTATTTTAAAATTCGGAAACAAAGTAATCATTAATTTTTGTAGGGTCTTTTAAACTCTGTGGAATTTCAGTCTTTCTGTTTGCCGATTGAATGTTCATTTTGCCCAAAGTCTTATAGAACTTCAACAAATTTTCGTTGTTAAACATTGTCTGCAAATAAGAAGCTTCTTCTTTACGTAATAAATTTAAGACTTTATTTCGAAGTTCACGATATTTTTCCCAGTTTGCTCTATTTTAAATGCGGATTTAACAGAAGATGTCAACCATGTATACCTACACGTACAGTATGTAGCGGAGAATGTTTATTAAGCAAATCTAACATATGTTTATTTAAAAATAAGATTTTCTCTTCAATCTTTTGTATTTGAAATACAGCATCCCATTGCAAAGAAGATAGATCTTGCAGGAAGGCAACATGGTCAAAGAATTTAAAATCTCTATAAGTAACATATTTTTGCTCCATTTTTTTGCATCAACAATGAGTTGGGCATGTACTAATCTATGGTCTGTAATGAGATCTAGATTCATAGTGCCTATATCACGACACAGTTCAGGCATATTTACAAAAATGGGGTCTGGTAGAGTTTCTGAATGTCGAGTTATTCTCTCGGGTTCTGTAATTAGATGATCTAGGCTGCATGCTTTGAAACATTGAACTAAGTTGTTGTTTAAAATGAATAAATTATAATTTATATCTGTTTGAATTTCAATCGTTGGACACTTTAGAATTACCATTGTCCCATTATTGACATGTCATGATTTCAAAGAGACGCTTTAAATAGTTTTTGAATGTATCATAATATAGATGCCACGACTCAAACAGTTTGATAATTCGGACCAGTTAAGTGAAAACTCAGTACCTAAGTACATATTTGGTTCTAGCTTAGGTACTGCTGGTGATAGCAAGGGGGATGCTCCTGATAATTTGTTTGGATGTAGATGGATAGTCTACCAGTAGAAACTGGAGCTGACGCTCAATGGTCAGGCTGGGAAAAATAAAATTTCATTCTTGTATTTTAATAGTCGATATAGCTAAACAACGTAGCGTTCGATCTAGCAACACTAAAGGCTTTGGGCTTAGAGGGGAGACAGGGAAACATGTGATTCGCCTTCAGTACAAGTTTAAACTCTCTCTAGTCATTTGATTGTCCGCAGAGATTTTTTTATGTAACAGTTTTTCCTTTGCAAAAGGGAGAGAGTCGAGATGAACCAAGAAGCGGAAGGCCTTCATCTTCAAGAACTGATGAAAATTTCGACGGAATCCGAGATCTTGTACGTTAAGATCGTCGGTTGACAGTCAAACTGATCCGGAAAAAGTTAAATTTGACTCATCGTTCACCAGATCAAGAACAACTGGCTGTTGCACCATGATAATGCTCCTTGTCAAACAGCAATAATCGAGCTTTTGGCCAGTAATATATTCCTGCGGCTCCTCAGCCTCATTATTCGCCTGACTTTAGTTTCTTTCCGAAGTTGGAAAATCCACCAGCTGAAGGCTATTTCAATATCGGAGTGCCATCATTGCTACGATGAGCGGAACAACCGTCTCCTGGCTTCAGATGGAAGTTATTTTAAGGGTTACCATATAAAATTGCAATTATACTTGAATAAGGAAATTAAAAAATCAGTCTCGTCACTGAATTTACAGACCTCGTATATGCATCCATTTTTTAATAATAATCCAGTTGATATCGTCTTAATTCGGACGTGTATTCATAATTTGTACATTGAAAAAAACTATTCAAATCTTCTGTATTTTACCCTGGAATTACTCAAGATGGTTCATGTTTATTCCGGATACTATCGACGGAGAAAATGCTATCCTTTTACACCGTATTTTCTATAGCAAAGGCAGGGTCGCATTCAAAGACCAAAAAATTATGACTTTATCACGTCTTTGGCACGAAATTTTATGTATGAACTTTGGATGGATGTTTTTACTCAGCCTGTCATAAATCAGAATAAGGATACGTACTGAACTCAATTCAGATTTTAAAAATGCGATTTTTTCTTCTTTGGGCTTCCATATGACAGAAATCATGACACACCAGCCATCCTGGATAATTACGTCATAAAAATGCTAGCTTTTGTCAAATTATTTCATCTACCTCACAACAGAGTTCATGGACTTTTTAGGATTTTCAGTTTTACAAATGATGAAAGAAAAGAACAAGTAAAAAAAATCACAGTTTATTTCTGAAGGCCATCTGAATTCACATTATATATTTACGACAGCCTAATTAATATTTATAACCTCCAGCACCATTATTTGCTTGAGACGATGGATACTGAGTGTTCTGTGCTGGAGCTCCTTGATACTGTTGACCTGGCCTGGAGACACCCGAATGCTGCTGACTCTGGGCGGCGTATTGCTGGTTCTGTCCAAGATAGCCCTGGTTTTGTGGCTGGCTCTGCTCAGGATATTGCGGGCTCTGTCCATACTGTGGTTGACCCTGTCCGCCTTGATGCTGGTCCTGTCCACCGTATCCTTGGTTCTGTCCAGGCCTCTGTGCCTGGATGTACTGTTGTCCAGGGTTGTTCTCCTCTCTGTACTGGCCGTCGTCGAAAATTCCGCGTGCCTCATCAGCCAAGTTCTGTTCCACGGCCTTCTGGATTTCTTCCGGTACGGGTGGTGCGACTGGCAAGTGGGAGCCTTGTGGTTGATATCCGTTTTCATCAGCGATGTATTGGATGCTGATCACCTAATTCAGGAAAAGTATAATTAGATTCAAATAATTTAAAAAAAACGTGGTTTAAGTCTCAAGAACTCAAGCTTCAGGTTATAATATAGTACATATGAGAACAAAAATAAGTAAGTAGATAAACTTGCTTTACAGTCCAGAAGCGTGATTTATTGAAATGGTTTTTTTTGAGGTGCTAATCTCTGTTAGAGACTCAGTAGTTTGAAATATGAAAAAAGAATATGAATATGGATCCGAAAATGATAGTTTCCACAATAAATTATATTTGCAAAAGTTCACTTTACATTTCTGGAGATATTGACCTGTATCGATTTTTGCGAAAAATAGTATCAGTATTTCATAGGATGATTCTACTTAAAAGATGCCTCTTGGATTTTTTTGTTCAGATACATCGTATTCCAAATAAAAATTACTTTAATAACCAGGAAATCAATTTGTTCATCCGTATTAAAAAATAGTAATTATTGGGCTGACTGAACACAATGAACAACTCCAAGAAGCGCTGTTCATGTAGAATCAGTAATGGCTGTAAGAAAACGTCTCTCATTTTTTCAAAAACTACTGGCGCACAATTTTCAAAGACGTTCAAGTTGAAATATCCCAGAAATAGGGAATTTTTGAACCAATCTTTATAGTAGCTTTTTCATATTTTTGAGTGTTAAATAAACTGATATTTCTAAATCCTATACCATCCTGTATACTGAGATAAGTATTTTGCCTTTAGACGCTTCATAATGTTGATCGAAGGGGGTAATTCGTACTTTCTAAAATACACATAAAGACTATTTCATACAATTTTTAAATGCATTATATTTTTGAAAATATTTTCAAATTTTGAAAACTTTGTTCAATACCATTAGTAGATATTTTCTTACCTGTCCATCTGGTGCAGTGTAAGTATATCCACCCTGAGCTCTGGTACCCTCTCCTTTGGTCTCACCCTGCTCATGTGCAACAATACCATTTCCTGTTTCCAAGGCATAGTTATACGTTTCACCGTCAACGTTGTTGTCCAAACGCAAGATAGGAACATCGTTGGCTTCCTTGTTGATTGGTCCAGCTGGTCCAACAGGTTGTGCTGCTTGACCAGCATACTGGTTCTGGTACTGCTGTCCAGACGGTTGGCTCTGGTACTGCTGAGCAGGTTGTTGATTTGCAAAGTGTTGTGAAGGTTGTTGGGGTTGATACTGTTGAGAAGCCTGTTGATTTTGGTACTGCTGAGCCGGTTGTTGTTGTTGTTGGTACTGCTGACCGGATGGCTGATATTGATATGATTGAGTTGAACCTTGTGTGTTGGGCTGCTGTGGGCTTGAGAAAGCAGAGTTAGCTTGCACTCCTTGGACGGGTGGCAGATAGTCCTTGTCCAATCGACCGCATAGTGCTACGCCGAAGAGAGCGATTGCTATAAGTAACTGAAACAATCAGAAACAATTATTTTAGATTTTGCAAAATAAGAAAAAATGTCTCTTAGTAGAATAGTAATAATAATAATTTTCTTTATTGGATTAACCAACAGGCGGAGTTCACATTACCTGCTCTTCCACTCAATCTTATAAAGATACAACAAAAGGAATTGTACGAATAAAATAATGAAAATAGAAGTTGAATGTTCAACCCAATAAAAATTGAATTTATAAGCGATGACATTTCATTCTTCCTGCTTTTTTAAAATAAAAGATTTAATTGTCTTCTTAAATGGGAGTTCCCTCAGCTCCAGAAACTCCTGAGGGATGTTGTTATATTCTTAGCAATTTGGTAGCTCCTTTCATACATAGTGGTTCTATGGGTAGGAGGAGTGATGAGGACTTTGGATCTAATATTAATATTGTGAACTTCTGTACGAAATTTAAATTTTTATAAAGGTAGGTAGGTCTCTTTTGTATAATAATTTTATTATATAAGGTAAACGCAGAAATTTTGAATATGTTCCTCACATTGATCTATTTAGTTTCAAAGAATTTTTCCGGGAATTCTTAAAATAAGATAGTTTTTCTTACTCTAATGAATTTAAATTTTGGTTGTGTCATGATCGTAATTGTACCACCATTGCATTGATTTTTGAAAATTGCGAGAATGTACTGCTTTTCATGCATACACAATGGAAGTATGGAACATTTTCGAAATTTAGCTAACAAGACGTTTTACGATAATCATCCGTATTTGTCTGGCAGTTGAATGAAACCATCAATCATCATTTACTTACATGCCGTTTTGACTACCACCTGCAGAAGGCCACCGTGGTTTTCGAACCATCTTCTCGGTAAACAATAATTCAAACATATGTGGTTTCATTTAGCGACAAGGAAAACACAAGGATCATCAGCATGGAAACCACAGGATAAGTTTCAGGTGTTACATTAACGTTTTACCACGTTTTTGCGAAAATCCATTCAATTGCTTCCGTTGGTCTTACTATTAATAGTTTGTTATCTTCGCAATCTCTAAAACAATTGCAACGCCTTCCATGAAGTTTAAGGAGCGATAACTAGACGATGCTGCTAATATTCGAATATTAGGGATGTTTTTTTACGATATATGTTTTTCAACTTTCTTGAATACGTAAAATAACTTAAAAATATTTTTGAGTTACACTCAAGTATGGTATATCAGCTAGATAGCTGATAAATTGTGTATGTTCTACTGATTAAGTGTAAGAAAATGGCTGACAGGCTTTCCAATGGAGAACTTCCCGTACACTTAATTATTTCAGATTTCTGTTATACTAATTTTGCTCTTGCTTATCAGTCCAACAATAATGCCACAAAGAGAGGAAAGCACAAGTCAAGGGAATTCAAAACCAATTTAGTATGTTGCTGGAAACCTTGGGGGTTTTACATACAAAAAGTTTTTGAAACTGAGTCCACACAGCTTCACTACATTCGAATATGGAACTTTCAGAACACTAAAGATGATGACTGTTATAAGTATTAACATTTAAGGATTGGATGTGTTTGTTTTCAAAAATAAACGGGAATTTGAGGTCATGAAACACCACCATGAATATCCAACTAGATCTAAGATGCTTTTAATTAGGCCAAGACATCGAACTACGGCATACCAAAAAACATGTATATATATATATATATATATATTATATCCCATATATATATATATATATGGGATATATATATATATATATATATATATTGGATGTAAGATTCTTAATAAGCTCAATGATGACGTTAGGAATGAGTCAAATATACCTGTTTTCAAAAGAAAACTAAATGATTTTTTGGTAGAAAGATGTTTCTACACCTTAGAGGAGTTTTTTAGATTTATAGTGTATTATTATTATCATTATTATCTTTATTATTATTATCTTTATTATTATGATTACTAATTTCTCCAAGAATCTCATACATTTCCAACGAAATATGGATCTGCCACCAAAGAAATACTATTTATATAACAACATCTATTTATTGTAGTGCAGCTTCAGAAAGCTATCTCGTGAGCTTCAAAATTTGAAGACAAGTTTATATTTTGCGTATGAATCTATAGTAGTGAATTTTGCATAGATCAACTTTTTGTCCTCAGCGTTATGGAAGCCCCTCATGCCAAAATTGTATCAAAATTCAAACGGTACTTTCAAACTATACAGGGGAGGGGGTGCAATAATTAGATCATTGACAGGTGACATAATTTTTTTTATCGTATGGTTTGTGTCGTCGTGGAACATCATTGAATACATTTTTGTACAAGGACAATAGATAGCCTCCTCCACCAAGGTATGTAGGTATAGATTTCTCTTACTTTTGTGATATATTACTAGATTCAATTTGATTACACTATGCAATATAGCCTATCTGAAAATTTTCTGAACATTTGGCGACACTGCCCGAAGAACGCAATATATGCATCATAAAGCGGAACGTAAAAGAGGGACGCTGATGCTACATGATAGAGTCCGACAAAGATAGAAGATGATACTTATGCCGACACGTCATTCGTTTTCCATCCATTTTCAAATGCTCCAATTTATCATGTATAAACAATAATGGCACAGACAAATATAATTTACAGCAGTAACTTCTGTTATAAAATAAACTCTGTACTCACTATAAGCAATATCCAGAAATGATTTAAAAGCAGTGACAATTCTGCGCCCAACAAGCCGAAAAGCTCTACATGAATGCACACGCTCATCATTTACCTAGTGAGTTTTCCATTGTCATTATGTACCTAGGAGGAGAAATGTAACTTTTTCTAAGAATATTGTGGTCAATAATGGTGATTCTTTAGATTACTAATGGCAAACATGGTTTATACATTTAGATTTCTATTTACAGGTATTACCGACGCTCTCTTGCTAATGACAAAAAAGCCTACTGTCTGAAATTGCTCAAATCGCATCATTTCCTTATTCGTCTACCCGTGAGAATTAATTTTTGGCATCTAGTTCGTCTAACAAAATACAAGTCATTGTGAAACCAGCATCTGACCAAGAATCCAACACAAGGATTAATAATAATCACGATAATTCGCAGATTTAATGATAATAACTCTTACGTAAAAAGAACCTTACTTGTTTCATGCTGGTACCGTTTTCAGCCGTGGTAGGTCCCAATGGATTTGCACACTTGAAACAACTTAAACGATGTTGCCGAAAAAAAAACCGGCGTATAGTTTTTATACGAATGTGCCCCACCGAAAATTCGCCGCCAAAAAGTGCGGTTGTATGTGAAGAGAGTTTATTGCAACAGGCCTAAAGCCCTGAGGCGAACTGACGCTCGCAGTGTGATACAATTTTGGTAATTGTGCTTTTACATAATGGTGGCATTTAAATTGTTTCAACGAGTAAGTCATAGTTTATCATTCATAAGTTGATATTGTGGGAACAAAAGCTTACCTAGATACGTACGGGTAAAGTCAACACCTTAAGCTGTCTGTTATCATTACAGGAATTTTAATTAAAATTATGAGAAACACTTGAAATGATTCCTTATTAATACATCTTAAAAAAACAGGGTTCATTTCAGTCCATATCAGAAATGATTTGAAACTAAGTTTTATACAAAAATACTATGAAAGGTGGACAGAATAACCATGGACTCTTTCCAAATTCTTCATGATACCACTCAAAGATACATAACAGTCTCTGCTTCCATTACATCTCAGCTTCGCCCAAACGAATTGAGGTTGCCAGACCACTATCCATAATTTGCTTTACTTTTTATATCCATATATAATCTCTACCAAAATACCAATTTGAAATTAATCACAAATGTATCACAAATGTATCCTACCCGCTTTGTCCGAAGTCATTTAGGAGCTTTCTTGATTTCTACCAAATCCACCGACTCAAGTCTCCCCGATTGTCCATCTGGAAAAATAATTTCAAAGTGCATTTAGATGCATTGAAAAGCTGTTCGTATAGAAAGTATAACATTGGAATTATGAGCACAACAACTATCTAGAAAATCAATATTTTTGTTGCAAAAACATATCTTCTTGTTTGGTAAGCAAATAAGGACTCGGATTCTCCTACAACTGTTTGCCGTATGTTGAATAAAGTTGAACAAACATGTTCGTATACCTTTTGGAGATAACCAAGTCATGATTTGGATGTAAAACGGGATAGTCGCTTTGCCCCGGGTGCTCGCTTTGCCCAGGTTTCCCCTAGGCTCCGGTCTAGCTCTGTAACTTACCAGCAGATCCATCCCGTGCTTGCTATTTGAATCAGCTGGTAATATTAATAAATAATAATACATTTATTTCATTGTTAAATAGCCAAGGAATATAACAAATCAAAAGTCAAAAGGAAATGGTAGAACAAAAGCAATACAATACAGATTAAAAACAGTTCTAAGAACTCTTCCAAGCGATAAAAACGCTTATCTGTTAGAAATGATTTCAACTGACTTTTGAAACTGCTTAATGTTGGTACTTTTTGAATATCTTCTTGCAAATTAAGATTTGCAATGATTCTATTGACATATATCTGAAGTAGAAAACCTCTCTATTGATGAGCTGCATCCACAGCAAAAAAATGGCATACCGCAGTTGACAGTTAAAGCTTTAATAGTATAGAGCAAGTAAAACTTCTTTACTACAGTGATTTGATAAACATTTTATACCATGAGCTTTACGTAATTTATGACAACAACTTAACAGAAAGAGATGTTTCAATTGTTGAAACGTTATTAAAAATACTGAAATCCCGGTTATCTCTCAGTGAAAATTTCACTAATTGGGTCTTATATGTATCTAATATAAGGACGTTACTTACCGATCATTTTTGAAGGGCTGTGTAATCTGCTTCACTATTATGATACAGTACAATGTTACTAGAACTGTCACTTAGTAACATCCGCATATTATATAATTTTACAACTTGAAACTGCATTTGACAGATATTTATTGAGGTCATTCGCAAATAGTAAAAAAAGAAAATGCCCCAGAGCTGATCCTTGGGGAACACCTGTGTCGATAATCTCACAAATTAGTGTGCCAATTTTTCGCATCACTTTTGTTTTACAAGAATTTTATTTAGTGGTTTTGTGCTCGATTGATTTTCTTTGTCGGTAATTTCATCATGAACGAAAAGTTTGAGCAAAGAGCAAAGATTTATCGCGAAACTTGGAAATCACTTACAGAAACAGTTATTCCAGAAAGTTTGTAGTGATGAGTCAAAATTTTGAATGACATTGCTGAAGCCCTAAATTTCCGTTCAACATGAAATCGTCGTCAGGGGAAATCAAGCGAGCATAAAAACACTAAATAAAATTCTTGTAAAACAAAAGCTACGCGGAAACTTGTTGGTAAGTTATTGAGCTAATCCGGGATCTTTTTGATGCAACCATGGTTATTGAACATTATGACAAAGTTCATTCGGTCTGAAGAAATAATCAAAGATGGATGATAGACATTTTCACGTGATTTTTCAGTGAAGATAGTTTTGTATAGGTATCGTAGAATTTTATCTAAGTATCTTTTTGGTACATGGTACAATAATGACATTGCATTCGATAAAGTATCGAAATAATAATACCTCAGCCTCCATAAGGTAGAACCCAATTACAGGAACACATATCTGGCTATGTAAATATTATAGTTTCTGTTGTAGCAGTTTAGTGGGAAACTAATACCACTAATATTGAAATATGCCAAGTATTCCAGGCGGTATATTTTACAGTGAAGCAAATTAAACAGAAAAGAGAGAGCAAAGAGATTACCCTTAATAGCAAGAAATCTATACGGAATGACTCTAATTAAGTGTTATTATTGATACCTTTTTCAGAATAGAAGCTGCGGCACTTGTAAAAAAGGTATTTAAAAGTGATCCAGTTCCCATAGATTAGTGACCAAATAAGGGTCACATATTCTAGTTGACTCTTAATGAAAGTAAATTATAAAATCTTTCAATTGGTGATGTTAGCACAACTGGAACACTTTATAACTACTACGCTGATGCTACCAAACAGTTTCCTGATGAAAATGACACCTAGATCTTTGAATCTATCTACACTTTTGAATTTCTGTACATCTATATAAAATTTTTCTGCGGGTGTTCGATATTTTTATTCATGAACATATCTTCAAGTCATCGGCGAAGAGTAAGTGCATGCTATCTAGCTCATAAAATGATTAATCTACAGTATGAACAGGAGGGGGCCGATGTTGGACTCTTGAGGAACTCCTAGTGTGGATGAGTACTGACTGGATTTGTAGCCGCCATACTCAACATATAAGCTCCTTCCGAAAAGATTGGAATGAAGTAGATTTAAAAGACTATCAGACAAATCAGCTGCTGCGAGTTTTGCCAAGAGTAAATAGTAAACTTGATCGAATACTTTTTGTATGACAGTTTAGATGACATCAACTTGTCAAGTGTATATATATATACTGATGCAAACTAGATTTATCGCTGTAGATGGCCTTATCATGAATCCATGCTGATTAGAAACTATGATATTTTCTATAGTGTTATACAGGATAATATCGAAAAGTTCGTCAAATTTGCAAAGAATAGCAATGTGCCTGTAATGTGTAGTATTATCGACATCTTCAAAAATAGCAACTATCATTTCCGGCATCAAATTAAATCAGTAACATATTTTGCGTGCTTGGAATTTTTTGATTTATGAATGTTTCAGCCGTGGAAAAATTAATTTCATCACATCAAAAAATCTATTAGCCATGAACACGTCATATCGATTACGGCATCCGCAGGAAGGAAATTGGATTATTTGAGTAGCATCAAAAAAACGCTTATCCATCTAAACTCCTCAATCTGTGCAAGGTCCAGATAGAATTCGGTTACAGTACTGTTCAAACGTCTATGCTGCTGCTAGTTTTCTAAAATTTCCATACTCGATGCTGTTGGCAGGAGTGATGTCCGTCTGATCAATGACACTTGCATAACAGATGGTCTCACTCGTCTCATACCGACGTGCGATGGTACGATATACCAGCGGACTTTGTTCCTCTGTGTTCTTTTTTATAATGTCTGTGCATTCTTAATCGAGCTGGACGACCCTAGGTTTCTACTTCTTTGAGCTCTGTCGAACATCGAGAACTGGACAGTATGATCTTCTCCTATGTTCGTAAGGTGCTGAGATCTCAAGATTGCGGGGAGACTGCGAGCATTCTCATTGCATCGTATCATATATAGCTTTAACCTATTGGTTAATCAAAATGTTGAAAACGCAGGAATAAAAATTTTCAAAGCCTCGTCAGTCTTGCCTACAATTGCATCACGCCCTTATGGCCTCCATAGTTCCGTGTCACCGCTCTATTTTGAGGTTATCCCAACTAACAATTATCACTCCTATTAGAGTTGCAAAAATGATTATACAGTATTCCTTACACAGCATTGTATACTGTAAGAACATTGGCAAAACCCTCTTAGAACAGCTATACAAGCGGAATGGACCTAATAGGACACTTCAGTCATTTAAGAGGTTGTATAAGGGCTGCAGGTAACATTTATAGAACAAAAGTGTAATCCCCTTGCAGCCGCTATAGAACATTTGCGTGAGTGCAAGATTCAGTTTTTGTCAACTATACAACGTGATTCTACTTTATTACAACCAAACTATTTCTTATGTATTGCATAGACGAAGTGAAGAATATATAACTAACACATTACAGTCATCTTGTTTACTTACATATCGGCCATTGTGAAGTTCATACACAGGTATATGATAAACTTCTACACTGTGATATATAGGGCTATTGAATTACTTGCGCATCAAATTTTATTGTGATTATCGTGCAAAGTAGTTACGCAATTTGTACGGGCTTCTTATTTCATGCATATTTTGATAATGATCAAAAGTATGTCTAGATTTTTAAGATGGAAAACTGAACTTATCTGCGTCAAATCTTCCACAAATCCTATATTTAGACACAATTACACTAATGTTTATCACTTTATATCTGTAATTTCGAACTGAAACATAATTATTTAATATTAAATAGAGGAATAAATGTTTGACCAATATGGCTGGTGGTTGTGTATAATCATGGCATCGTCCATCTTATCTTCAGTTTATTAGTATATTTTGGTGTTGCCTGCAGGTGTTATACAACAATTTGACAAATGTCTGAAATGAAATATCGACAGAGTCCAATGATTTACCCAGAATTTGTACCAGATCTATATCTTCTGTTTGAACAGATGATAAAACCTTTTGAACCAATATGCACGCACTGTTTGTCTTAAATCATTGGCTATGGCATTTTAACAAAAATATGACAACAGAAAG